ACCTTTGGTGTGAGATATATTGAAATGCACTCCTGTGTATTTCTTATTCACTTATGCACTTACTCTTGCCTCTGACTAAGATCCCTTAAAAATCCATTAGAGACATACAGTGAGCACTGTATTAGAAGAACTGACCAGTTAAAGGTCTTGGATGAATTATTTCACTTACAAGCAGATTATCCCTTCTAGATCTTCACACAAAACAGCCTAAGAGTGTCTATATGCACACCAATTTTATTTTGTGCTATTTCTTGGTTGGATGAATATTCATCTTGAAGGGGGAAATTAAAAATTTTAAATAAAAGCCTGTCTAGCATGCCCACCAAGACCAAGCAGGTATGTCTGGAAGGCCTGATAACAGAACACTCCTTCCTTTGGGTAAGTGATGGCCTTGCAATGTAACTTCAAATATAATGGGACACTTCTTCCTTTGTGTAACTCATGTTTGTTTAACTGATGGCCTTACAATGTAAATTGAAATGTTTAAACTCCCTTAGCAACCCATGATGTCACCCAACTCTCCAATCATAATGTGCCAAATCTGCCTTTGTACCTCCCTGCTTGCACTCCCTATAAAAGTCCCCAAACCCTCCTGAGTAGGGCTGACCCACAGGTGTAAATAAACTGCCTCCTAAACCTTCTCTGTGCCATTTCTTCCCGGGTTGTGTTTGGGCTGTGTTTTGTAACAAACTCACCTGTGAGTAAATATCAGTAACCAACATGATGCAAACATTGCAAGGGACATTTTTTTCACTTGTTTATTCAAAAGAGCCAAAACTTCCTTTTTAATTTTATGGAGGAGTTCTTAAAAATAATATTAATGCCTAATAAGATTATCTGATGCCCACCCTATATTGGGACTTTGTAACATGTTAAACTGTGGATTAACTGGGTAAGACCTTCGTCGGTGTTTGTGGTCGTACGGCTGAGCTTTGCTCCTGCTCGTGCCTGGGAACGTACAGCAAACTGATGCTAACTCATTAGGTGAATTTGGAGAGAACCCTTTCAAAAGGATCTGTAGGTCTTCCTTTATTACGGCCCTTGCATTCCTCTCATGGATCGCTGCAGACGACCAGAGCCAGAAAATGTGTGGCAGAAAAGAATAAAGAGGAAACCTCAGCTCCCATGAGGTCTGCTTCTTTCACCGAAATTCACTCTTTGGAAAAATAGAAGTTCCAAAGCACCAAGAAGAAAAACTATAGAAAAACATTCCCTAAGAGGTGTTCTTCAAAAAGGGACCAGTGGGTCATTGCAACGAAGGGAGACACCAGGGAAAGTAACATTTTTTATTTGCTCCTTTACTTCTCAAATTCTATTTTTAAGAAATAGAATTACCTCTAAATAGTATAACTTCCTTCATGGAGAAATTATCTCAATCTTGTGATCAAACTAATCTATGAAGTTTTTTGGGAAAACCTCCCCAGAACCATTATAGTCACTCTCAAAGACTGAACCGGAAGGGTGTAAGAAACAGTGCTGCCCCTGCTGCTTGGTCCCCCCAGTACGGAGGACAGATTCAACTACATGCAAATCTTCAACAAGGGAGCTTCATTTGTAATTAAGCATGGAAACACTTCTTGATATTGACAGCGTATTGTATCTTATTTGACGAAAACTCATCCCATGTGGGGGGAGTAGAGAAAGGTCCGACTCACCAGTCTAAAGTTAGCTTTCTGTAAGTGACGCTTCTTGATATGCTGTACAGATGGGAAGTATTTTCACCCAATCAAGAGATACTTCAAAGCAAGCTAAAGAAACATTGATGGGTGCTTAGAAGCTTTTATATCGTCCTTTATAGAATTCCAGTGATGGGCCGGATTTTCGAAGATTTATTTTAATATCTTTTTTTAACCTCTGTTCATTTTTGTTCATGTGAATGAATACCAATGACTCAACATTTTAAAATGCCCCTTGGCAGATGAACTCGACTCTTCTGTCTTGCATATAAATATAAGTGACATCGGACCATCACTCGGCTTATGAATATGTAACACTCAACACTCAGTGGTGGGTAATTCTGCTCCAGAAAGTTGACCTCCCTGTCTCAGGAATGAGGTACTGACCTGGGAAAAACAGGTTCTTTCATACCAAAATGACACTTCTGATCCAACTTCAGTAAAACCTTGGGTTTGATATTTTTTCCAGCTATGATGATAGATTTGTGTTGGTACTTTTGCACTCCTTTGCCTGTCCTTTGCATGGTCAATATCAGGCAATAACACATGGCTGGCTGGAGCTAAGAATGTTATTTGTGACCTTGATTCACCTCATATAGCATTGTGCTACACCATGACCGGTAAAGTTCCATTTCTTTCCACACCATTTGTTACTGAAGTATTTTGTAGTACATGAAACTGATGTTTTTCTAGACCAAAAAAGTGGAATATCAGATTCTTTAAAAAATATAATGAGTCTAATACCAAAGGAATTTTTAAAGGGTTGTTTCATCATGTTCCTACAGTAACATCAACCCCCAATTTTTCTTGTCTGTTGTTTGCTCCTGGCTGTTTGTCTTTTTAACTTTAAATATTGCGGAAGTGGGTTTTTGTTTCTTTTTGTTTCTCAATTGCATAATTCATCAGAAGAGATCGAATATATTTTATACCAACAATACACTCAATATAACACAATTTGTAAGCCTGAATCTTTCTTCAATAAGTTGTTAAGGAAAGAAATGTAATGTTGTTGTGCAGAGTGATCTTATGACAACAAGCAAAATTGTGTCAGCCAGATGACTGCTGGCATTCATTGAATGGTGTACACAATCTCTGAAATAATAACTGCATGTCCCCTGCAGTCAGCCTGAGTTCTTTCTTGTGGATATATTAACAGTGAGTCATATAAATCTTCCATCCCTCACACATATCCCTATGCAAAGAATTTCCCAGGAAATTGCAGAAGTATGAGTGAATTCCAAAATGTCAACTTAAAAAATATACACTCAGTTCCAGGTCATTCCTGATAGGAAATATCACTAGCAAAAGAAAATACTTTTTTTAACTAAACATGATGGATTCATGCAATATTTTGGGGCAAAAAAAAAAAAAAAACCTAGTCATTTAGTTGTGTCTCTAACTGATTTTAACTCCTCAAATAATTCAAGGCAATAAGAAGTATGTGTTTTTGACAACCAGGTGCTTGAAGTAATTCTGCAGGATTTCCTCCACATTTCCACAAAATTAAAACTGACTGTATAGCATAACTTTCATACCTTAGTCTAAACTGAAACACACAAACATAGGCATATTTCTAGTAATGGAAAATGTATCTTTAGATTCCCTGTTTTGGATTCTCTCTGTCAAACTGGGAAACTGGTTTCAGCTCTTTTACATTAAATCCTCCAATTCTCTAATTCTGGATATTAGGTATACAGCAAAACATACAAGTGTCAAGAGTTTGCTTTGACTGAGCTTGATTGATTTTAGGTATGCCTGTGCTCTGGGAATTATCTAAACCTTCATCACCCAAAGCTTGAATTTGGATATGGAGCAATATTACTTTTATTGTTGCTACTTTAACAAAGAGTTTTAAGAAGGCTAATCAAATTATTGCAAACACTTTTGAAAGTGTCAGATTCTGCAAGAACATGCTCCTGCTAAATGCTTGAACCTCTTTCCCCTTGGTTAGCTCATCAGTACAGTCTTCCCTCTGATCCGAAGTGTGACAAGGAACGCGAATTGGAGTATGAGAAAGAGGGACCCTTCCCGCATCTCGTCTGGACTTAGCAGGTGGGTGAATTTGACTTGGGTCCCTTTCCTTAACCTGTGTTTCTTTCTGCGGTTGGACTGTCTGGCTTTTCCTGTAAGATTGTAGCCCCTGAGAAGATCGCGTGTCCTATCAGAATAACAGGACCTTTCCCACAAAACATAAAAGTGAACTGGGGAATTTCATAATCAAAGTAAATAATATTTTCAAAAATTAAAATTATATGGTGCATAGAGCACATGCCTGCAATTCCAGTGTCTGCAAGGCTGAAGCAGGAGGATTGCTGTGAGTTTGAGGTCAGCCTGGACTAAGTAGTGAATTTAAGTGCAGCCTGGGCCACTTAGCTAGACCCTGTCTCAAAAACAAACAAAAAAAAACCCAAAAAAATAAAAATGGAAAAGATTTGTGATGAACAACATATCAAAATTGTGATTAGACTCACAATTAATTATTCCCCTTTTCCCTAATTATTAATTAGTCTTAAGAGTGATATGTTTTATAAGGCACTGTTATTAATCCTGTCAGTACTTAAAATTTTACTCCGTGTTTTTCATTGTTGATGTTTGTTGGTTGGCGCTACCTTAAATGGTGGTCCCTAAGGAGGCCTGGCCTCTGGCACTCCTGTCTTGACCTTGCCCTTGGTTTTCTGCCTGGCTCACACTCTCACTGGCTCCTGACCTCCTGACTGGTTTTGCAGTTGTCTTTCTGTGCTCTGAGCGCAAGGTGAAGAATTGTGTCTGCTGTGTAAATCTTGAGTATCTTAGGGCACGGTGTGTGGGACACGGTAGCTGAGTGAGAGAAAAATCTACTGGAGCTGGGGCTAGGGCTGTGCCAGACTTCCTGCATGATTACATGGGTAGAAATGTCGCTGGCTGCTCCCCACCCCCAGAGCCTGCTGCAAAGCCACAGATTTCTTTCTAGGATTTTTCTGAACACTGGAGACATGAAACCGGAAATGTGTCATAAAAACCAGAGAGCCAGTGGATTCAGACACATCTAAGGAGGCTCAAAGGGAATTAACAAGCTGATTAACTCTACTAAATGAAAACTAAAATAATGTAAACTGTTTTCAAGATGATCTGTTTTGCAAAAGACCCACAAAAAGACATGGCAATTTGTTTTTGTTTTTCTTCCGGTACCAGGAATCAAACTCACAACCTTGAACTTGCCAGGCAGGTGCTGAGCCACTGAGCTAAATCCCCAGCCCCAGCTGGCAGCTTCTTAACTGGGGGTTTTGTATTTGTTTTTCAGCGACATTTGAGATTTCTCAAGGTTGTGGGGTTGGAAGTGCTTACCTTCAATGGTGCACTGATCGGGAATTGGGATCTTCTTCATGATTTCCGCGGCATAGGCTTTCACTTTACTGAGGTTTTGCTTTAGATGCAAGTAGAGCTTATCTTGGTATTCTATAGGATTTGTGGTTTTCTCTGGAGTTTCTCCCTCGAAGTTTTCTTTAATAGTTTCTTCAACATTTCCTGATTCTATATGTATAATACTTGGGTGTGAAGCTGAAGAATTTCTCAGCTGAGCTGCGTGGGTGTCTGTCTTAAGGGGCGACTGGTCACTCCCAGGGCTGAGTGGGTCTATGTCTGAAAGAGAGACGCTGACCGGTATTCCTGCACCCTCTTCGTCTGCCCCGTCATCTGAACTCATACCCTTGGTGAGTACGGTATGCAAAGCCAAACTTTTTGACCTGTAACACAAACAGGGTGAGTTAAAATCGTTAAAGAAGTTGAATTACCATTCACTGGCAAGGAAAAGAATAATGACACTGGGACACGAAAAATACTAGGGCACTCCTCTGGAGTGTGAAAATGTTAACAGGTTGATAAAACACAGACTATCAAATGATGTAATAAGCTTAAACTTTGAAAAATCTAGGTCACCTCCAAAATCAAAGATCTAAACATTGCTATCAAGTCAGAACTGGCTGTGAAAGAGTGGGCTTGCATATTTTTATTCTTTTCCTATTTTTGCTTCTAATTTTTAAGAATCAGGAATCAAGAGAAGACATTGACGGTCATTCCCAATATCGGAACATCTATGGTCCAATAGTGTTTTTTAAAAAATAATGTGCAGGTTTGTCTCTGATTTGTATTTTGTATCTCCCATTTAAAATAGTGAGCTTCTCCAGATAATAAGAGCAATGCGGCTATCTTACTCATGAACAGAGGGAACTGTGGGTGGCCCTAGGTAACAGATAATGTATAAGAGGCACCTCTGATAGCACGAGAGTAAAATGAATAGCAAACATGAAGCGCATACTTTAAAAAACTAACTGACAAAATTTATACCTGTTAAATCGAATGTTTTTTCTTTCTTCCTTAGAAAGGTGGCCTAAGCTATATCTTCTGATAGATCCAGGGGTATTGCTTTCAGCATTTATTTTGTCTTCAAAAGCCTGGATTTTAACTTGGAGCTTTTCATGGTCTTCATTTTTAGCTGCCCCAAGGTTGACTTCTCCTAGTTTCTCAGGGAGTCCAATATCAGCGCTGGTTTTTCTCCTAAAGGAACAGAAATGATTACAGTAGTTGATAGGTTTATATACCCTTTAGAACAGTCATTCTACCCATTTAACTACCTCTTACTCAGAACTGAAACTTTGCTAGATAATTTTTGTTAGTCATTTAACAAGTGTTCATTGAATATGTGCTATATACATGTATCTTTGAAATTGCTTCTATATTTACTCTGCCAGAAGTTTAGAAACATTGGGGTTTATGTCAGCTTTTTAAAATTAGAAACGTTTTTTGAAGATTTTAGAGAATAAAAAGCGGTTTTTATGGACATCTACCATATTCTTATTCAGAAACTCTCCAAAAATATGGCTCTTATATGAAATTCATGCCAGGCATTTTTAAGAAAATTTGTATGTGCTAAATGCATGCATTGTTAATTTATAGAAATCAATGCAGCTCTTTCACCTTCAAAGGGAGCAAAATCTTTCTATATTCTAAAATGTTACAAAAGGCATTTTTCCATGAAAAATATTAATAGTTCCATTAATGGTTTCCAATATCTTTATGGAAGAGACCTCCTTCCGGGCAAGGGCCATGTGTGATATAATTTTGGAGCCCCCCCCCCGTCCTAGGGTCACAATCCCCTAGATAGAGTAAGAAGCTATGGGAAGCTGTAGAAATAGCTCCGTGATGCTCACCGTGCAGTGAACAATTACAGGAAAACAATATTTGCTTTTCCTTATCTGTCTTCTAATATTGAGCCACTTTTGAGCTCTTTTAATTTTTATTTAACCACTATCAACTATAACAGTGTTAATATTAATTCTTTCCGTATAAATCAAGGGCGAAGTTAACTGCTTTTTACTCTCTATACTTCTGATATTAAATATTTGTTTGATTGTTTTCTCTTTACAACAACCAGTTCTCTCATTCTAGACACCAGCTCCATGTTTTTCTGGTCAATTCAATCCTGACACAAACTACCCAAAGTTAGCATCGGACGCTGAAGCCTGCCCTCGCTTCTGTAGATGCCGGTTGCTAAGATGGAGTCCCCAGGCTTCTCACATTTCTGTCCTCCTTAGTTACAAAGTCAGTGGTTTTGCTCACACATACACTCGCCTCCGGTTCAATAATTCACTAGGATGACTCACAGTACTCAGAAAAACACTTTAACTTATTATCACCAGTTGTTATACCAGACAGACCGCAGGAAGAGCTCCATGGGGTGAGCATGGTGCACACCAACCATCCAACACCTCAACTGGTTCGCCAACCACAAGCTCTCCCAGCCTCATCTTTAAGGATTTTAATAGAGGTTTCATCACATAGGCATGATTCATCAAATCATTGGTCACTGATGCTTAACTCAATCTCTAGCTCCTGTTTCTTCCCCAGAGGGTGGTGATAAGGTAAGGGGGTAGAGTACAAAAGAGGGGTAAAAGTTCCAACCCTAGACTCATGGCCTGGTCTTTCTAGTGACTAGTCTTCATTTTGAAGCTATTCAGGGTCCCCAGGTGACCAGCTATCTCATAGCACTCCTCAGCCTGGAAATTCCAAGGGTCTAGAGTTGGCATCCCAGATACTGGAGACAAATAAAATATTTATATATATACGTATGTATGTATACTACATAACAGTCCCTAAAAGCATAATCACCAAGGTGCCTAGTGATCTCCCTCCCCAGCTCTTCCCTTCACTCTGCCTTCTGGACACCATGAGTTGAGCACCCTTTCTTCCCTCATCCCCTTGTGCCATGCTGTTTCTGCCCTGGAGCCACCAACCATGTACTGAAACCGTGAGCCAAAATAAACCTCTCCTTCTTTAAATTGGGGGTGTCAGGTATTTTGTCCCAGAGACAAGAAAATAAAGAAGACATCTTCTACTTAGAATCTGAACTTTTACCCCTATTGCAAATGAAACTAAAGTAATGCTATCACTGGGTGGTATTTTATAAACCATGGTGATTAACAAGGTTAATTTTTTTGAAATCCAATAAGTCCTCTCAACACAAGAAGTTTTGGAAGTTAGTTATTTTCTGTTCATGTTAGTCCATGTATAGTCACTAAGTAAGGATGTTTCTGGTTCTTAGAAACCTACCCACATTTCAAAAATAAGATACTTTTTTTGTTTGTTTGTTTGTTTGTTTGGTTTTTTTCCAGTACAAGGAATCGAAATCATGACCTTGTGCTTGCCAGGCAGGTGCTGTGCTGCTGAGCTAAATCCCCAGGCCCTCAAAATAAGATACTTTTATTTTTGAACTTTATTTCAGACATGTCTAAGGCTAGCCTCATTGGAATATAAACATTTATAAGGCACACAGTATACCCTAAAATGTATATATCATGTATTGAACATTATACAATGTATGCAATATAATAATGCATACAATTTTATATAATATTTAAAAGATTTTAAAACCTGCCAATTGTTAGAGGAATACTTTCTCATGAATTTCTAATAAATCTCTGGGTTATAAATATATTATAATAATAAACTTTCTTCCCCACAAAATTTCAACTTTCACACACTTGTAGTAAATGTCCCAAACATAATTGAATTAGGTTTTGATTTTTTAGAGATAGTTCTAGATGGGGATGTAGCACAGGAGAAAGGCGCATGCTTAGCATGCATGAGATCCTAGGTTCAATCCCCAAAACCACAATTTTCCTAACGTGTATATATTTTTAATTTGTTTCACTCTTTTTGTTTTCGAGACAGGGTCTCAGTTTGTAGTTCAGGCTATGGAGCCCAGCTGGCCTCAAACTTGCAGTGATCCTGTGCCTCACCCTCCTGAGTTCTGGGATTACAGGTGTGCACCTGGCTATTTGTTTCAGTCCTTATGAATTTCACTTTCTGTAAAATGGAGATAATTAACTATATTAAACTCACAGACTGCTAGGAAGATCACATGGTGGAGCAAAGTGAGGCACTACTCTGCTGTAGCCAGTTATGAGTTATCCTTAGATAACAGGTATGAGATTTTAGTGCTATTTTTAATTGTTTTTACTGCACTGTAGCCTTGACAATTTTATCTGCATTATCAATGCCATGTGTTAATATGTGACGAAGACAACTGTGGTCCAGAAATCAGCACCATATCTGAGAGTGCCATGGCATCTGGCATAGGGGGAAACTGTCACTCAGTCCCCTGACCCCTGGAGAATGCCATGCCATCTGGCATAGGGGGAAACTGTCACTCAGTCCCCTTTCCTGGCTTGTGTCTCATGACCAGGTGTTGGTTACTAAGTGTCCGAGCTTGAATGGGTCAGAGCTCTAGTAGTTGGGAGCAGTCTTCCTTCATCCTTTTAGCATCCTCTTAGGGGGCTTTTCGGCATGAGAGAAGTTATGGGTTATACCCAGACACCCACTGACTCCAAGAAGGGCAGGCCTACTGCCTTCAGGGTAAGGTTGCCAGTAAAATACAAAACACCCAGCGAAAT